GGACCAAACATAAGAACCTGCGTTTTATCAGGATTGAGTTGCAGTTCGTGTTTCACAGAAGAATCATAAATGTTTTGAAGTTCAGTATTGATGTTAGCAACAGCTTCATTCAGCAATTCTGGTTTAAATGATACATAAAGTTGGGTATCATCAGCGTAAGCATGATACTTACAGAGATTGATCTTAGTCAGTATATTTGAAGTATATAAAAAAAGTAAAGGCCCAAGTATAGATCCTTGCGGAACACCGCGCATTAACCTCGCAGATTCAGATAGTTCGCCTTCGAGTTTCACCATTTAATGTCTATTTGTGAAGTATTCTTGTGTCATCTTAACGGTTGTTTTAGATATCATAGATATAAGTATTTCTGAATTCAATGAGTCGAATGGTTCACTGTATTCCAGTAAGATCAATAACGAGATGTCTCTCGTTAGCAACAGATGCTGCCAATATGTCATCCGTTATTTTAAGCAAGGCTGTTGTACAGCTATGTAGAGGCCTAAAACCCGACTGAAAGAGAGGCATTAGATTATAGTTACTCATATATTCCCTGATTTGTTTGTTCAAAATGCGTTCCTATAACTTAGACATGTTGGGTAGAATACTTATGGGTCTAAGATCTTTGTAGTCTAAAATATCAGCTGTTTTGGGGACAGGTATAACATACGCAATTTTCCATTGAGTTGGGACGACATGACTGTACCATGACATATTGGTGTTCATTCCAACCCCTGACAAACTTATCGAAGCAGAAAACGGAATTGTCTGTTCTGACATCATTATATCCGGTTAGGAGAAATTCATCTTTATGGGGAAAACTGATGCCTGGATTTTCGTGGCATTGAATTGAACCTGGTTACTTCCACCCAAATTCGAAATTACCTCTAGATCCTCTTCAAAATATGCAACTTCCTGCTGCCGATGATAATGTGCATCTGCAGCCGATGTCCTGGAAATTAAATGGAATGACGAGACAGGTGAGCTGTCCTCAGCAAAGCAATATATTGAATCATTTTTTTTCTCTAATAAGTCGTTGATATACAATAAAAAGAGGATTGAAGACAATATGGAGTCCATGGAAACACCAGCGTTGCTGGTAAAAGTATTTAAGAGATATCAATCGACGGCCACTTGTAGAGAACGGTCTTTCAGGAAGCTGAAGAGCTATACATAAAAATGATCCGAAAAGCCATAGCATCGGAGTTCGACCAGATCATTTCGAAGCAGATGATAATACATGTTTACCTGAAAATGTTGTATTAATGTGTAGTATTTTTGGCGTCTGTAGACGTGACGAACTTGTTTAGCTAACTGTGAATGATTTTGAGAGCCCCAGTACCAGAGTTTTGGTTACATTGAGGTATACTGAAAACAAAAAGAACAAGGCATTCGTTATTCCCTAAGAAGGACTTTTTCTTATGCCTATGGTTCATACCGGAAATACGTAGATTTGCGGCGTTCAAATTTGAAAAATCGGCCATTTTTCATTGGTTATAGGATTGGTAAATGTGTAAAACAAGTTGTGGGCATTCATACTAATGGAGCTGTTCCTCGGCTACTATGCTTGTAGAAAATGGTGGCTATCTACTATCGGTAAAAGAACTTGAAGGTTGAAACTCCTCTGCTGTGGCGGAGTCTTATATTGAAAATTCAGTTACAAATAAAATGAAGATAACGAGACGATCATTTCATAGTAATGAGGCTACACCAACAAGTTCAAATACTTATGCTATAGATGGTAAATATCTCATGGATGGAATAGAAATTTCAAATAAAAGCAGTTATCATTACCTTTCAAATTTATAAATAGTTAGTATCATTATAATTATTGTTATTGTGAGCAGAATAAAGTTAAAAAAAAAATATTTGAACAAGTNTCATTACCTTTCAAATTTATAAATAGTTAGTATCATTATAATTATTGTTATTGTGAGCAGAATAAAGTTAAAAAAAAAATATTTGAACAAGTATTTCTTAACGGCTGCAGGCCTTCAAAAATTCTTAACGGACGGATACTGTTAACATTAACTCTCCAATTGTCATCTGAATACTGTCGAAAGAAAATAACAGTATCGGATTATGAAATAGTTAATAACGTTACAAGGCCGATACGTAGCAAATAACGGATAAGGTTGAATATTTCAATCCAAGGACCAGCCGAGGATTATAACAACCGAATCCGTTATTTGCGTATCGGCCGTGTGTCGTTCAAGAGTTTTCCCGCTGAAAACTTACATGGTTGCTCCTAACGGCCGCCTGCCGTTAAAAAATCCTAACGGATGGAGGCTGTTCACATTAACTTTTCAATTGTCATCTGAATACCGTTAAATCAAAATAACAGTGCGGAATTACGAAAAATAATTATTGAGATATAGAGCTACACAGACACATGACATTAAAACGGACATAGTGTTTATATCATTCCTTTAGCCAGACAACTGAGATAAGCAACAGTAGTGGTTAAAACAGTGATATAGAATGAGTTCATCATAATCATAGAAAATTCTCAACTCATTCATGGAAATTATGAATTCGAAAGGAACTTAAAATATCAGTAATACTTTCGAAGTGGGTTAAACAAATTTGAAAACAAAACTGCATTCCATTCTAAGAGGTATTTGGTAGATGATTATTTTCATTTCCTCTTTTAACTTTCCAATTGAGACATATCTATATTCTAGAGCAGCGTTTCCCAAACGCCGGGGACCTACCTTCATTGTGGAATTTTTTTCGCGACCCACATATTGAATAATATCAAGTTTAATTATCATTACTAACAATATTTTTATTATTGTCATCCGTGAAAATTCACTATTGAGGAATACACCTCTGAAAGAAAATGATAAAGATGATATAATTGAAGATAAAATACAGTACGAAAAAAACTTTAATTCAAAATCTTAAAACTAAACAAATACAAAAAACGAAAAAATGAAACTTATGTAATTAATGTGACTTGTGTAGCTAGTGCTTACGATTTACAAGAGATTCTATATCTGGGTTCAAAGTTGAAAAATGATCAATACTTTCCTTCAGAATTTCGAATATTTTCACTTCAAGAATGATTTGGGAGCTTTCAGAAAATAGAACAACCATTAGTGATATAATTGACTACAGACTATTGAACTTTAGAATAAAAAAATATATAGATGAAGTTCGAAAATTAAGTTATAGAATAGAAATTCATTTATACTAAATAACAAACAGAATGGTTTCCACTTACATGATGTACAGTTTTTTTTATGAAGTTCCTTACATATAGTATTCATTGAGTACCATTGATGCAGTTAAATCGATATAAAATATAACAATATAAAACAATAAATAATAAAAATATCGTAAAAAATATTTAGACACATTTGAGCATTCGAAGGAGTTGTCCCTCTGTAATACTGAATATATCCAGTTCACCGTTCCTCACCATTTTGTTAACAGTTTCAAAACATTGTTGAAGAGGAGACAAATTGTTTGACATACGATAGAGAATTTCAGGTACTTTCAGTTTTCTGAGAATATTTGAAACAAAAGTCACTTCGGAAGACTCACGGCGGTCTTTCAATGGATGCATATTAAATTCTTGTAATTGGCTAGAATACGACATAAATGAAGACCAGACATTGTGTTTTCTGAAAAAGAGTGTTCTTAATAATCGTTTCTGGACTTTTTCTATAGTATCAGAATATAAAGAGGTCTTTGGATTCCAAATGACATAACCATATTCCAGCTTAGAACGAACAATGGACTTAAAGAGTAACAAACAAGTATCGTGATTGAATTCACGGCTAGATTTCAAGACAAAGCTCATTTTCTATAACAATCAGATACTAAGTATTGAATGTGCTGAGAGAAACTGAACACCCCAGTAAAAATGATCCATAAATCTTTCATCTCATTGATTCTCTTCAAATGTGTGTGATTAATAAAATAGTCCTTGATAGTGGGTGACTTCTTTCGTGTGAAACTCATTATTTTGCATTTAGCTTCGTTGAGAGATAGGTTAGATACTAAAAAGTAAGTAGATACCTATATTATTGAGATCATCTTGAAACATGTCAGCATTTTTTCGCTTTCGATTCTTCTAAAAAGCTTGAGATCATCGGCATATAAAAGAAATTGGGAATGCCCGATATACCGAGAAACGTCAATAACAAATAACGCGAAATGGAGAGGTCCCAAAATCGAACCCTGCGGAACTCGTGAAGTAGCGGTGAATTCGAACGAAGGTACGTTGTTGAACTAGTAACTGTATTCTGTTGGATAGAAAGCAGTGAAAGAAATCTAGTGTGTTTTTTGTGAAACCGAATGCTTTCAATTTCAGGATCAAAACCTTGTGGTTAACTCTATCGAATGCCTTGGGCAAGTCAGTGTATAACGTCTATTTGATAGCTATTTTTTATTGCATCCGTAACAAAGTTACTAAATGCGCATAAATTGGTAATGGTAGATTTTATACGAATAAGGCCATGCTGTTGGTGGATTATCACTGAGTCCACGTGATTGTATACTCGATTATATATTACCCGTTCAAATATCTTCGACAAAGCTGGTTAGACTGTTATGGGTCTATATTTTCTTACATTGTTCTTATTGCCGCTTTTGTGTATGGGGGTTGGTGGATCAATTTTGAGAAAGCTTGGAAAACGATTTTCTTTCAGAGAAAGATTGAATATCAACGAGAGTGTTACTTTAACAAGTCACAGCGAAGATATAAAAACCTTTTGTTTGTATATTTTTCTGTATATTCAAGTGTTTTTTTTCACGTACGTCATGCATTTCTCACAGACAGGATCGAGTACTTCTTGTCAGTAAAATACACTCGTGAGCTGAAGTAAACTTTTATTTTCTAGTTCAGCAATTAGGGAAACTTTTGTACCTACTTCATATATTGAACAAATAAATGTTATTATCATTATATTATTAACTGGACTAAAAATACACAAAATATATCTCGCTCAGTCGTGGAGGGTTGCTTTTGAGAATTTCTGTAAAACAATAAAAACTCACCGGTCTTCTTTTATGATGATCCACGCAGATATTGCTATTCATGTACACGGAATCTGTATCTGCCCCTGTAGATGATTCGGACCTTGGCCTCCTCCAGTCCTCTGTGTCGATCCGAGAGCAGGTGGTGTTGTGTTCATCGCTGCACACGAATACACTGTATAAATATATCAATCCCGTGAATAAATAATGTGTCTTCACATATCACATATTTTGTCAGTACCACAGTCGAAGATAACTGTGTCAAACCCTCAGAGTAACAAAAGAAAATAGAGAGGACTTTAATGATGGAACTGAAGCATTCGAGGTGAATCTGAGATATATAAGTTACAATTCAATTGATTATTTATTTGAAGACTTTAGATTTTTTTTTTTTTTGAAAACCAGCTGCAGGATGCTCATTTTTTATTGATTTCAAGTAATTATGTATACGCCAACCCCATTCTATAGGGAACATTGAAGCATTATTTTTCTATTGTTGAAGTCGCTAATAAACTGTTTCAATATATAATTATGCTGTATCCTCTGTCGGAGGTAACGAACTGAGTTGTATAGTGCTTTCAGAGAATCACAAAATGGCAACTCAATTCAGAATGATAAAGCCAGCAGACAAATACTCCACAAATATCGAAGTTAATTATTATTAATAACCATGCATTTTTTGTAGGTAGGAAAAAATGTGACTTCGCTTGCGAATTGTTTTACAACTTCAATTTAATTCCAATTGATTAGCGACCTGTTGGTTCAATTATGAAGGATTGAATCATTAGTACAGTGTGTATCTCTGAAAACACGCTTTTTTCTTCGAATCCATTGCGATATAACGTTTGTATAGTTTTTGGCAATTGTGTGTAGAGTATACATTGTGACAATACCAATAATACTTCCATTGAAAAATATTTCTTCGCGTGTCTCAAAGTTTCAGTTGCTGCACGTAACTTTTGTTACTGATTGAAATTTTCAATAATTTTTCTCATTATGAAAATTTTAGGAGTCAATTAAATGCTTCATTTCATATTGTGAAGTGCAGATTGGACCTGAAGAGGCAATAATGTAAGTGCCCATTTCCGAAACATCGATGTCCGTCATTGAGGATGACTGTGAAATATAATGTCTTTCATATACTGCATTGTGTAGCGATAACGTGGATGATGTCTGATTCTATTCCATAACAAATGTTTTGAGTACAAGTTAAATAGAAAAAAGTTATTTTCGTGTAGCTGAATCTTCATATAAAAGTAGTTATTTCGAAAGTACTTTTTCCTTCGTGTAATTCAATATTCATATGGATATAGTTGTTTTGAAAATATTTATATCGGAAAGTAACTTCTATGGATGATCTACACATCATTGTAAAGGAATGATTTCTAAATTGATTGCATTCTTTATTCCTTTGGAAACTTTACTACAATTTCCCTTTCAGCTCTATTTTTCGTCAAATGAACTATTTTTCGAGTAACTGAAATGTTTCTTGGATCATATGTTACACTAAAAAACATTCCTGGATGAGATGACTTACAGTGTGAACAGTAAAATCTGCGTCATTCGAAATGTGTTCGTTTTGATTATAATATACTTTCAGAAAAAAGCTAGCTCACTTTCCATAAAATTTTACCAAATTTTATTCTGCAATAATGATGCAGTTTATAAAAATGACTTCATTTTATGCAGTTGAACTTTTGCGTATGAGCTAAATATTGCGTTAAAAAACTTTCTTCTGCATTTTTTTGAATATTTAAAAAAAAAAAATAGATAATGCGAATCACGTGTCTACTTTTTTGTTTCTTTTTCATCTTGATGAAAGCATAGTCAAATATCGAATGTACGAGTAGCTTTCAACACAGAAATTGATGAGAATTCTACTAGTCGTCCTGATAACACGGAGGGAAAATTTATAATCCTTGGTATTTAAAAAGTCTAATTTTTCAGAGGGTGTTTCGTTCGGAAATCCCAATGAAACATGAATTGGGAAAACGAGAAAATATTACTATACTACTGTTTACTATTTGTCTTCAACTTATAATATATTGTAAATTTTCTTTATATTGTGATTGGATTGTGTCGATTTAAAAACTAACATATACAAACACATTATTTTCGAATATTTGTTTGGAATTGAAAGTCTTCATTTTTCATTTTCAGATTAAGAAATTCATGAACTAAAAAAAAATTAATGATCCAACTGAAATGAAGAGAGGAAAAGTTGTGTATTATAAATCAAAACTGAACTTGTTTGTTCAATAATAACAGAAATATTTCAATTGCTCTCATACAAAATAATAAATTTTCATTATGTACTTGTGATGAACTGTTCGAAACCTTTGGTGTAGTAATGAGTATTACTGAATTTCTATCCCGCAACACCAAACCTTTATTTTCAATACCTCGACACGTGTTTCATTCACCAAGTGATTATTTTCAAGAGGCATCCCGTCTTTAGAGGAAGTACTTGAGGAGATCATTGCTGGTGTTGGAAGTTTGATTCAATATATGCCTGATTCTTCGAAGGGACTGATTCGAGAGAAAGTCAGGAATCAAATTTTCAGGAACATGATTACAGATAAACCGAAACATTCAATAAACGATGATAACATTAAAAAACTTATCAAGCGATTGAAAGGCAAATATATCTTTTCTGTGAAAGCCGATTGGGGTACCAAAGTAGTAATTCTGTATGAATCGGACTACTACAAAAGGGTCAATACTCTCATAAGAAATTGTTCAGGAACCTGATACCAAAGATGATTGCCGAAATAAAAAACGTCCTTAAGAAATGCGACGACATACCCCTCAACTGAAACGGAACTTACAAGTTTCCAATCCAACGGCGTCGAAACTATATTGCCTCCCAAAAATCCACAAATCGGGAAAATCAATGCTTTCCATCATGTCAGCTATTGAATCTCTAAAGCTCACTGAGGAATTTGAAAGCTGGTCTATTGCGGAAACAGCTTTTAGTATCAAAACCTCCTTAGAGTTCATACAACATACAAAAAACATCGTTCAGCAACGTCAATTGATACGTATCAATTGAAACAGTTGACACGGCAAGAATAGTACTTCTACCATGCCACTGAAGATGACGTTTGGAAACGTTGAAACGTTTGGAGATTGTAACCAAAGAAGACCACGGCAAAATCCGAAATCAGCGAAAACATTGGGGCCAGCTGTGAAAGCCTAACATAGGTACCTGAACTTATTGGCTTTCAGTGAATGAATAAAAATGAAGATGTTTCAAACAGGGGCCATTATAAAAAGATCCAAATCTTTTTGTACAACAATTCTGAATAATGAAAGGCGTGTTCCACTAACAATGAAAATATCCCAAATTGGGATATTTCCTTCACGATAAAATAAGAGTCCAGTAAAAAATTGAACAGGCGGTAATTTGCTCCAAAGCAAAAAGTCGAATAGTCCTGGTATGTTTCCCATACTTTTATTGATTTGTAAATAATTTTTTTTTCAATATATCTAAAAAATATACCAACAAATATAATTAGTCTCCACAGAAATTATTTTCAAGCCACATACAATAATATGGATTGATTTTAATACAAAACATTGTTCAGTATAACTTAAAATTCTGTTGGTCGATTTAGTATTCAACTGTTTATGAAAATGTTTGATATGTGGAGTTAACTAGCTCCCAAATTTGCATAGATATTGCTTCATGCATTTCAATTCTGTGAGGAATTAATCTCTATCTGATGTTCTTATATTCTAGAAAGTGTTACACAGGGTGTAGTTACCAGAAGGTATGGTGTGACAATCAAGAAGGGTATATGTGAAAGGTAAAATTTGGTTTTCAAAAAACAAAAAAAAAAGGTTTTTGGCTCTTCACTTGACCACTTCTCTACATACACTGTGAGAATCTTACAAATGAAAGAAGAGAGCAATGAAGTTCAAAATAAACTCTGCACATAGATTTGTAGAACATGCAAGTTACTATCAGATTCAAACTTGAAAAAAGCCCTCTCGATAAACGACCCCAAAATGAAAATTGAATTGAACGGAAATCATTTTTTCCTATTCAGTTTGTAGTCCAAAATTTGTTATGGAATTGAAGCATATATCATTGATAGAAACGTTAAACAATATAATTCATGGGAGAGATATCATGTTCACTTACTATCATCCTCATTGATGGCCTTCGAATTTCCGGAATAAAACAAGTGTATCAATTCGAAACTTCGAAGTCCACCGCTAGAAAATTTAATGCATGAAATGATTACTACATGGAATTTAACTTACATGAAACACTATTATATTCTTGTCTCATTCCCAAAACTTCGAAGTCCGCCAGTGAGGATGATAGTGTTCCATGTAAGTAAAATTTCATATCGTTACATTTTCATTGTGTGACGTTTTTTATGAATGATATATGATTCAATTCCTTAACGAATGTTTTGAGTACAAACTGAATACGTAAAAATGGTCTTCGAATAATTCAATGTTCATATGGAAGTAGTTGTTTCACACTCAGTTTTTACTTGAAATTAAAACAAATTAATGAATTAACCTGTCTTAAACAAATTTATCTTCAACAATATTTCACTAATCACAAACTAATTTATTTACACAACACTTAGCAACCAACACCTAATTTATTTCCACTATATGAATTTATTGTTTAGCCGCACGATTCACTTTCTGAACTGCCCTCTTGGGTCGTGACGGTAACGGTCCTTTCTAGAAATCTGTAGTCGGTTCGGCCTTAGAATTTTACCGGCGATTACTGACTGCATTCTTTCGCTGTGATTTTATGTGTTTGTTCGCTGAGTTGGCCGGCATATCGGTCAGGGGCGGCTTCCGATTCATTACAAATACATTTCTGTGAAGAGTTGATTTCGATCTTTATTGCTATTTTCTTCACTTTGAAAGTTTTCCACAGTTTTTGTATACAGACAGAATCTTATTTTATACTTTCAATTTTTAAATTTATGATTCTGAAAATCCTAGAGGAGAAAACAATTTGTAATATTCCACAGTATTCCTTACCATAAATCTAATATTTGGAAATGTAGAGCTGAATACTTGGTTTTCAGTGGTTAAATCTCCGAATAACTAACTTTATTTAAAAGACTTGTAAAAATGAACTTTTTTCAAGGAACAAAAAAAATTATTGTATAAATTTCAAAAGAGGTTTTTAATGAACGATGCCTTATAATTGTTTTTCTCCTTATATCATGATAACAATATATTTTCAACCTTCAATCTATTGTGTTTCAGTTAGGCATGAATTTGCTCACCTGGAGTTACTCCTTTTACTGCTGTCTTTTTTCCCGGCCTGTAGATTGGGCAGGTCTTTCTGTCTTTTTTCTGTTTCTCTCCATATTCGCCAGTAGAGTATGCACATAACTGTGACTGGAACATAAAAGGCGGCGATGGCCGTACCGAATGTGATGTAGTGATTTGTTTCGATGAATTGTATATAACATTCGTCATTTGGAACTGTGCGTTGACCTTCGATATATGGCCAACTGTAGATCCAAGGTGGCCAAAGAAGAAGACTAATGCCCCAAGCGCATCTGGAAGCATATATAAACATTAATTGTGGGTCCTAAAAATATTCAACTGATAGGAAAAATCACTGAACATATAGATTATTTATTAGAAATTCTACCACTTTTGTGGTCTGTACTACAAGGAATACGAAGATTCAGTCCAATATGAAATGTGGAAGTTTGCAAACTATAAAAAAAAATGAAAATATTCATGGGAAAATGAAGGAGTTATCTGTATATGAATATTATTATTCTTTGAAATATTTTTTTTGTGTGAAACTCAATATTTCTTCCTTTCACGATATGAACAATGAAATAAAAATTATTGTGAACGTGAAATAGAAGTAAATGAAATTATTTGAGGAGAATGTGAATATATGTTTCTAAAATTTTCATTGAGCCTCTCAGAGACGATAAACCAATTAATTACATATTCATAGAAAAATCAACAGTAAATTTTGAAATGTTTTCTATATTCCGAAAGAATCATCTTATACTTCAGATGCACATTTTTACCAGCAGCAGGAGGTTGCATATGTTAATGAGGATCTTGAAGTGACTTCGAATTGGGGTGAAAGTAACCAGGTTCAATTCAATGCCACAAAAACACAGGCATCGGTTTTCTCCAAACAGATAAATGTCTCCTAACCGGATATAATGATGTCAGGACAAATAATTCCGCTTTCTGCTTCGATGAGTTTGATGAGGGTTGAAATAGACACCAATATGTCTCGGCACAATCATGTCGCTGGAACTGCAAAGGCTGCTTCTCAAAAACTTGGAACACTGCTCCGTACCAGAAAACTGTACTGATGCTTAATAAAGCTCATATCAGTATTGTTCTCATGTAAGCATGTCTCTAAGCATACCCTAAAGGTTCTGAATTATATCCAGAAAAATACCATCCATCTGATTGGAGACGCAAACTTCATTTGCAACCTTGACAGTTTGAGACATCTATATTTTTTTTACCTCTGTAGGTAAAGTTCAAGTAAACGATATAGTACAACCTACCTTCCAACAGCTCCCCTGTAATAATATAGTTAGAAAGCTGACACAATAACTTTCTTCGAAAGCTTCCGATAATTCCTCTTCCATATGCTCTGTTTCACTATCACTGTCGTCATTTGAATTATTGAATATTACTGGAGATTTTTCCCAACACCAAACCATTATTATAACACCTCGACATGTTCGATCATCCTGTGGACGATGATCACTTGGTAATCAAGCTGTTTGATCTTCCTCTAGAAGATGATCTTGGTGATCGAAACACGTGTCGAGGTGTTGAAATAACGGTTAGGTATTAGGAAAAACTCCAGCTATATTCATTACTATACCAAAGGTTCCAAACAGGTCATCGCAAGTATTCCAATCAATAATGAATTAATTTCCACCGTTAATATGTAAGAAACCAATCTCCATATAGTCTTTTTCAACTAAAATTACTCTTTTAATTATTTTCTGCCAGTCTTCTTCGGTAATATTAGATACTTCTTCTTCAATTAGCTCTAGTATCCTCTTATCAAATTTTGAATTTTTTTTTCGCATAATTTCAAAGAATTCGTAACCCATCCTTTACTTCTTTCGCAATGCACAATGATTAGTCTCGACCCTTTGTTTGTAGGCATGTTAGGTGAACACATTCTCGAACTATCAGTCCACCCTTCCGTAACTGTGTCGTGAATGTTATACCAAGATTCTTTCTATAGAAAATTTGCCGTTGTTCTTGTCTATATTTGGTTATTTGTTCTAAGTATTTGTAACGCAATTCAACTATTCTTCTGCTTTCCATGACTTCTTGACGTTTGTTTATTATTTTAAATCTAAATCCTAGTTTCTTTATCCATTTCTGAAGAGTTTTGTCACAGCAGCACACGTAATGGCCTGAAGTATTCAATTTTTTTCTTATGATTTCAGTTGTAGGAATCTCATTGCTTTTGTAACAGTCGTATATTGATTTTTTCAATGATTTTATTAGATGAATATCTAAAAGTTTTGCTAATCCTGTATCACATCGCATCTTGCGTTCATAAGATTTATTTTTGACAATTTTTCGTACAGTTGAGAAAAGAATTTCGATCAAATCTGTTGCTTCGGTCAATGTTGCTTGTATTCAAACTTGAAATGTAGATTCTTATATACATTGAAATATACTCTCTGTGTTTCAATATTGAAATGCATGCGAATCTTATTCACTGGTATCTCTTTTTTGCATTGTTCACCATCGCTATTGGAATCATTGAACTAGAGAAAGTCTGCGTTGTTGTCACACTCGTTATTACTATAAGTACTTGTCCAAGGACGCCACATTTTGAACAGATAAAAAAAATTAAGTATTTATAACTGAACCAATATCGAATTTCAACACTCAAATCGCGATCAGTTCTTGAACTGAACACGATGGCGATAACTATCCCCGCAATACCCGATTTCTATTCGTCACCGTAACATGACTTAGATTCAATTTAATGACTCTTCAGCCAATCCTGAAACTCGGTTAGTGAAAATCATCTAATACGAACCCCCCAAGTCTACAGTTTACGTGGACTAGTTCGCAGCCGGTTCATTTCTATCTATTGCTTTTTTTTTGGCCTTTGAGAGTACCGCCAACTCTGAGTGTGCACAATATCGTTTACTTCGACTATACTGCAAATTATCATCATCTCTGACTATATTATTGTGATGTAATCGAATATCAAGTATTGGTTGATTCAGATATGTGATAAAATACTTGTTTGATTTTGTGAATACATATAATTAGCTTCTATGAATTTGTTTGAACTGTTTTCAATAAATGAATGGGGGCTCAAAATTCAAATGTTCCTTCGGGGTAACTACCCAACTCGATATCAAACATAATTTCACTATTCGATCTGTAACCATAATTGACCAGAATCAATGAGGATGCATCAATATCGTGGGGTGGATATTCCAAAGCTATAAGTGGATTATTTATTGACTATAATAACCTATTCATATTTGAAGTACCTGACAGTCCTACCGATCATTGATAGATTGAATTATATTGCAGCTTGGAGTGGGTAATTCACTCGTGTGAATTCAAGATTAGGGAACGTAAAGGTTTTTGGTATGTAGAGTTCAGCAGTTCACTGGATTGATTGGGACATTCAAGTTCTCAGAACACTGATGAAGGAGGTGATACAGTAATCAAGTTGTAATTCATTCACCGTTCTTTGAAAGAAATAGGAAACTTTGAAATTTGTTGTTAGTTTTTTAATTTTATGGATTTTTAATCTTCCTTGAACTGCAAAATGCATAATCCAGGTTGATAAGGAATGAGTACGGGTGTAATGAGAAGTAAACTATAAAATACTTTTCGATAATTTACTATGAAAGAAAATTTGTCGAAAAAGTGTGGCGGACGTTTAGGAAAACTCCAACTCGCTAGAATGAATAGTTTTCTGGTTTTCAAAAAGTGTTTTTGTTGACCAAATGTCCAAAGAATTGAAAACCCTAGGTGAGGAATTCGAAAGACACATACACAGAGAGTTGTCCGAGATTCCGGAGAGGTTTCTTCCTTCAGTTTTCTATTTCAACAATAGTCACAAAACATACGTATTTGACAAATTTTCTTGTTGAATTCGAAAAGTAGAATTTGAATCTTTCATAAAATAGATCGAAAGGAAATACTTCTTTCAAACCAAAAATAAATAATGACACTAGACTCGCCTTACATCTAAGTTCCGTCTGTTTTTACATCATTAGCTCAGGTAATGAATATCGAAAATTCAAGTTCAGCAAATCAATTCCCAGTATTGTCTCATCCCTTGATTTCATAAGTTATTGACTACCTGTTACGTACCGAATATTTACCAATGAATTGGTTCCATTTTTTTAATTGAATATAAATTGGCTTTCCAAAATGCTCGTACAGTTCAACAACTATCCAGGGTGGCGGAAAAAGAAAAAGTCTGAGATTCACGAAATGAGATTTGTCGATTACGAAGTATGTTGGTCAAACTGAGCGAAATATAATAACACGTTTCAAGAAACACATTTCACATTTCAGTTTCGTAGACCAGAGGAGTCTGGTGAAGTTCAATTTGCTTTAGACACTTTTGGTTGAACCATCAGTCCTGCCATGCTTGATGTTATTTCACTTCCAGTTTGAAGAAGAATGAGACTTGTATAGTTGAACTTACTTCTTCCAATAAATTGATAGATATAGCTGTTACTAAGTGATAGAATATCATCATGAAAAATGAGAAATGAAACTTCTTGTTTTTTTACCACTTTTATACAAGTGTTGAAAAACAAAGAAAGTTCCATTTCTCATTTTTCTTAATTAGGAGATCATGACAAACTAACACAATACCAGGAATTAATTTTGTGAACGTCATTAATGACATTTATAACCAGAAGTGGTCATATCAAAATTAACCTTTTCAAATTTCAAATTAGTCTTCACCATCTACAAGTACTGATAATATAAAATCGGTTAACGAATCGCGCATCCGAGTGATCCTGGGTGGAATTTTGTTTCGTCGAATTGTCGTTACTTTGGATATAATTCCTACGTCATCGAATCCATATTCCATAATATTTTTCTGTAGAAAACAATTATGGCCAATGAAAATCAGTAACATTCAATAAAAATCTAAAGAAAAAACTTCTCCCACTAGAACGAAATGTTGTCTATCGAAAAGCGTTAACCAAGTTCATATTATAATTGGTAAATGATGAAGACTGATTTGCCATTTAAGAAGGCCTATATTTATATCATTATCTCTGGTTATGAATGTCTTCAATGAGGTTAATGAAATGCATTCCTGGTATTGTGTTAGTTTTTAATGATCTGTCAATTCACAATTTGTATTCACTTGGTCTCCATTTCTGATTACTGAGCAGGAAAGTGAATGAAGGGCTATTCGAGATGGGACCTTTATCTCTATTCATATACCCCTACACTTTGAAAGTAATCTTAAAGCCTATTGTCATGTATCAGTATCAACAATTTTGAACAGTTTTCACTCATTTTATGACTGTTCTCTGAAGCAAATTGAACTACACCAGACTTCTCTGGTCTTCGAAACCGAGAATGTAAATAAAATACGTCTCTTGGAACGCTGTTTGAATCTGTTCTGTTTAAAATCTGTTTTTTCCATTAATCAGCTGTCGCCCCCATACGAACGACAACTCTCATAAGTTGAAAAACTTGTGTGAGCTAAGGTCTAACGAGGTCTTACCTTTTAACGTGTGATTCCTAACACGGTTCAAAATCATCTCAGCTTCAACCAGATAAATTCTCTCGAGAAAAATATCTGGTCGAGGCGGAAATGGAACCCACTGCCTTCCGATCGTGATTCGGGCGCAATACCACCGCGGCCGATTATGAAATTTTTCTTAGTTCGCTTAGTTTGACCAACATACTTTTTAAATATTACTGGAGTTTCATCACAACAGCAAATCGTTATTTTAACACCTGGACACGTATTTCTATCACCAAGTGATCATTTCTCAAGAGGAAGATTTAACTAAAAATGGGGAACAAGTGAATATCAGGTACATAACATGTATTCACATATAATTAATGGGCATACTTGAAGACTGGCTATGAATCAAATCATCTAAAAGACCAATTCGTTCGGATATGCGGTTGGTTATCTCGTTCACAGGCAGAGAGAGCAGTGACAAACGTGTTGTTTGTTGTCCGCTTCAGCCTAGTTCGAGGAATGATACTATGAAGGAATTCGATTTTCAATTATCGGAAATCATCGACTTTATATTGATCATAGACACTACCTTGCACTGATGAGTTCCCAAACTGCCCGAACCCGGTCTGCAAGTATGTTTCAATAATTGAAAATATTCTGGCTGATACCACGCCCTTCGTGGTATAGATGTAACGCGAGTCTACAGTCAGTGTTCTGTTTCGGTGTGGAAGAAGTATTTTCTTGATTCATTCTACGCCAGAGGTTTCGATTGTACCTCTCAAATTCAACAAGAAGGACGTACGTTGAAATGAAAAACTGGAGGAGAAAATCTTAAAGTGAACCAGATTTTCGGACAACTCTCTGTATATTCGTCTTTCGAATGTATCAACTAGGGTTATCATTTTTTGGATATTTGGTAAAGGGTTTTCAACCCAAGCAGTTTTCGGAAAATACAGTGAGAACATGAAAAATGTCCATTCTACAGAGTTAGAGTTTTCCTGAAGGTCGGTCCTGTCTTCTCGACAAATTCTCCTTTCAGAAGTACTTTTCATTTCACTCACATATATTCCTAATCAATCTGCATTATGCATTTTGCAGATCAAAGACGAATAACACTCCCGAAAATTGAAAACCATCAACTAATTTCATATACATTTTAAAAAAATGGCATCTGGCAGAAGGTATAACTTCTGCCAGATGGGATGAAACTTGCCGTCCCATATTTAAAAATCTCAAAATAATGACACTGTATTCAGTCATTGTTTATGAAAACCTACTACATATAAATATAAATAATTATACCTATTGTACAGACATACACCATCATGATACTAGAAATAAATCAGACCTTGTCATGCAAGCAAATAGACTGAAAAGGACTGACAATATTGGGCCTAAGTTATACAATACTCTGCCACTAGATTTCCGCAATTTGTCATTCAATAGATTTAAGTACATTCTGAAGTTTTTCTTAACTGAAAATCCTCTGCATGATATCAATGAATTTAATGGAAGTGTCCAATTGAATAGAGATGCCTTCAATGTGGACACCTAAATGATAGGTATGTCCCCAGTTGACTAATATGTATGTGTATTGTAATTTGAATCAAATGTTTGTACTGAACTTCTCAACAATCTTGATATTATTGATGATCTCGATATAATTTTTTCAACCTCATGATTAATATCTAATTCTTAAATTCCATCATGTAATGTAATTTGTTTTAATGAGTATGTAGATTTGTTTTAATGAGTATGTCTTCGTATTTTTTATTTCTCAATTCATTACCACCATTGATTGTGGAATCTTAAGATATATATTTTTATTTCAATTGCGCCATTTGTTTTGAAATGTCTATAAACCTTGTGTTTCTCAAGACAAATGAAGATATTATTATTATTAACGTTGAAAGAATTTTGGTTTGATTACTGTACCATATTCTTCATCAGTGTTGGGAGGACTTCAATGCCTCGATCAATCCAGTGAAGTGTGCTGAATGCTACACACCAAAAAGCTTTACGTTCACGAATGTTTTAATTACTCGAGTGAATTACCCACTTCAAGCCGCCCTACAAATCAATAATCGCGAGGATTGTTATGTACTTTGGATATGAATCGTTCATTATAATTAGTAAACAATCCACTTATAGCTTTGTAATATCCACCCCAGGATATTGATGCCTGCTCGTTGATTCTGGTCAATTATGGTTACAGATCGAATAGTGAAACTGTATTTGATATAGAGTTGTGTAATTACCGCAAATAAAAATGTTTGAATTTTCGGCAATATGTCATTCATTAAAAACAATTAAAAGAAGTTCATAGAATCTAACCAACTGAATTGACATCAACTGTACTTCAATAAATTGATGGATGTAGCCGTTACTTCGTAGTAGAAAATCATCATGAAAAATAATAACTGAAACTTTATATGTTTTTACCACTTTTATTTGTAACTAGATAACGTTAGGTTAGGTTCAAAGTGAGTGGGTCTATTCGACCCTCCACCGCATCCCGCAAAGGTTTATTATGGCTCACACCTATTCACACTCGACTAAATAAACTTAAGCGATTAGTTTGCATGGTGAGTGATCTTTCAGATCAGATGGTGAGGGTACGGCTCTGCCGAACTCTAAAAACCTGATTCGGTCCTCAGCGGGGTAGGCCCAAAGTATGTTCCCTGCTGTTTCATCATTATCGAAACAGAGGCGACACACACTGTTTTCCGACTGTCCGAGTCGAACATCGTAGTTCATCCCTACTGTAGTCCATCTGTTGGTATTGAGCTTCGAAGGGTGAATAAACTCCTTGGAGTGAGCCAATCCTGGAAGATTCTGCCAGAAGTCCATAAATCTTCTTGCCATCCAGGTGTTTATTCTTTGTTTGGCAAAGCCTAAACCGATACCAATGACAGGTTCTGGTCCGATGAAGCTGCTTGCAGCACCCTCCTTTGCAAGAGAGTGAGCAACCTCATTGCCTATCAGGCTAGTGTGGCCAGGAATCCAGAACAGAGACAATCTGTTAAGTTTTCCTATCGAGGAGAGTCGTTTTAGGCAATTTGCTACCAATTTAGAAGTTGCTCGGTAGGAGCCAAGAGCTTCCAACGCCACTTAACTGTTTGAGAATATTTTCATTGACTTGTGTATGAGGTTAGATTCTTCCAATCTCACCGCACACAATGCAATAGCGTAAATTCCGCTTGGAATACAGTCACATAGGTTCCTAGACAGATTGATATCTCTGTCCCGGGTCTGCGACTGAAAATACCTGCACCAGAACCGGAAGGTGTTTTTGATCCATCTGTGAACCAACAATTATCTGCTTTTAATATTTCCTCTTAATATTTTCTACTAACGTTACTGCACTTAAGTCCTATAAGGACATTTTTGAACTTATAATTGAACTCAAAATGATTTATTACATTAGCCCTTTTATAACACCAGTGTGTAATAACAGAGGTACTCAACCTAATTGAGTACCTGAATTTTGTTTACCTGTGACAATGTGAACAGGTTGCACCCGTAATGTTTATGCTTATGAATTTTCAAGGATTCCAAATAATTGAGTTTGTAACCCTTCCTTGCATAGTGCAAAGTTTTCGTTCTGTTTAGATTCGGATACATTATTGGAACAAGTATTTTCTTGCATATCTAAATCAACCAATGCTTAGTATTAGATTAGATAACAATAATATAGTTAGAGATAATAATAAATAGGGGTTTAACAAAAGTAATAATACAGGGTGTAACTGAATAAGTGTAAAACATTCAAGGAGGTGATTTCTCGTCGAAAAAAAGATAGAATATTTCATTGGAGCATCCCTTGTTAAGATACATCCCCTTAAAAGGAGTACATAACATTTGTACAACAATTTTTTTCACAAGTACTGAAAAAGTTACAATATTGAAATTAACCTGACGTTTTGTACTACCAAAAAGACACATAGCCAGTAATTCATTTGGTTTACCCCATGGTTGTAAGGTGTGGAAACGCAACCCCTAGAATGAATTTTCAATGTAACTTTTTGTCTCATCATTTGTTTACCATATAAAAATGTATTTCCGATAGCCTTTTTCATTGTAAACAAAAAATGTCTCTTGAATTTTTTGCTCAAAATAAACCAGTTCGCAGCAGAAAATTATTTTACGAACAACTACAGAGATACATCGTCATAAATGTGAACTGGATTTATTGTTATTTATCAATAACAAAACACACAACATGTAGAAATCATAGTAAATGTTCAATAAAAAAATTGTTATACAAATTTCATGTACCCCCTTCAAGGGGGTACAAGGAATGCTCCAATGAAATTCCTTTATATGAAAGATCATATCGTTTTTTCGATGAGGAATCACCTCTTCAAATGTTTTACACTTTTTTAGTTACACCCTGTATATTCAGAATATCCATGATAATAAAATGATAATAAAACCATTCTCACCATTTTTCAATTTTTTTCAACCATTATGATGGATAATGTTATCAATTCTCATTAAGTGACGTGTCAGCCCATTTATAAAGAAAAACGGTACACTGCTATAGTTGCCATATATATTTCTGTTTTTCTACGAGCTTACTGATCGTTTCCCAACTATACCCCCAAGTAAAAAATGTACATTTCATACATGTCTTCATCATTCATTGTCAGTCGTTAAAATTCAGTTTTTTCAAACAATCGAAGAATACTTACGCAATCATAACAGCGGCTCTATTGGTCGTCCTCCTCGCCCTATACGTTAACGGCCTCGTTACCGAAAAGTACCTGTCGAAACTGATGATGAGCAGGTTCAAAACGGAGGCGTTACTCGCCAGATAGTCCAGCGCTAACCAGGTGTCGCAAACGATAGGACCCAGCGGCCAGTATCCCAGCAGCGTGTATATCGTGAAGAGAGGCATGGAAATGAGTCCTATAGCAAAATCGGCCACGGCCAAGGAGAATAGAAAATAGTTGCTTATTGTTTGTAGTTGCTTGTCGATTTTGAAAGATATCATTACCATGATATTACCAACGACGGTTGTCAATGACAGGAGAGCCGCTGGAATAGAAAATCAAACTAATTACTTGCGTACGTGCAAAAGGGCTTACTGTTGACTTCAAACTGGTGATTATTTTATATTCCTTCATTTTCGATAGTATTTGATACGTTGGTTTATTTCTAAACTGGATTTCAAGACACTCATGAATCACAGTTATTGGGAAAGCTAATGAATATGCAAGGCTTAGATCATCAGCTCCATATATTGGCCCTTAATAAGCTGTGAGGGTATCAAAATCTATGGTATGAGACCAAACCTGGAAATGATCTCCGCCAAAAAAAATCAACTTTCACATTGGAAATATTATATATACATGCAAAACGCCATTTAGGCCCCTTTATAGATAACCCTGGGGAAATTTTAGTCAACAGAACATGTTTTCACCTACAAAGTGCCACCGAAAGAGTATGTTATTTCTAAGGCTTGTTTGCACATTGCTGCGAATTTTAAAGACATCAATTCACCAGCATTTGTAGAAAATAATGCCCTGTCAGTCAGGAACTCAGATAATTTTTTTAAAAAATTCGCCACTTCTTCATTTATTAACATAAAGGGCTAAAGTTTCCACAGAAAATAACTGAATGTTCAAACTTACGAGATAAAAGTCGAAATTTCGACTTTTATTTCGTAATTTCGACTTTTATCTCGTAATTTCGACTTTTTTCTCGTAATTTCGACTGTTTTCTCGTAATTTCGACTTTTTTCTCGTAATTTCGACTTTTATCTCATAATTTCGACTTTTATCTCGTAATTTCAACTTTATTCTCGTAATTTCGACTTTTTTCTCGTAATTTCGACTTTTATCTCGTAATTTTGACTTTTATCTCGTAGATTAGATTAGATTAATATGGGGCTTCTGTGCTGAACAGCCACTACACTGCGACCTTTGCAGATATATTGTGTGTGCCCTCATGTATGCTAAAGTTCCTTGTCTAGGCCCGTCCTTGTAACTAGACTCCATAGGACCTCAAGTTACCCATATATTGAGAGGGTTGTGGTTTTCACTCCCCTAATGTTGCAAACCTTATCCTTGACAGACCTTCGCAATAGCATAGTATGTGTACGGCAAAACCTGCATAGGGCTGTGTCTGCTAGTCCGATGTTGTTCATGTGTTTGTTGAGTCTACAGTGTCCCGTCAATAGCTCAACCAGAACTCTAGTTGATCGCCTATTCAGACTTAGTCGGTACTCCGTGAATTTTGACGATGTCTCTTCAATGAACTATTTGGCCTGTCTCATACCCGGCGCCTTATTCCACCATTTTTAAGATTGTTTTTCCTTCCAGTTGCTGGGCGCCATTTGCCTATAAGCATGCAATATGGGCACTGAAAATGAAGTAATGGAGAGGATACAAAAAGCCTTTCATGAAGTATTTACTGAATCAAATCGACCATGTTTTTTTGTATGGAAAAAGCATGCACAATCAAAAGATAAAATCTTGGTGGTCTATATCACATAAACATAATGCACAATACTGGTTGAATTCATTTCAAACCCTAATAGAAGATAATTTATTTGATGCATCATTTTCGCACAAGTCTCTTATTCAATTTTTTTCATACCATCAGAACAAGTAAGAGATAAGTTGTTGTTAATGAAATTTCAATTATAATATTTATTTCAGAGTGATCTTGATCAAGTATATTTTGAATAGAGTATTCATAGAATACGGAAAACAAGAAATGCTATTGCTCCAGCAGGGAGACCCTTCATGGAGTTACAGATCACCTCATCAAGATTCCATTATTCGGTTTTAAACATTTTTCGTCGAAGTGTACATATCCACGGACAGCCTGTTTCTGCCTGGAATATCGTCACTTTTTTTACCTGAGCTTAGTGAGACTTTTGTCTTTGGTTTAGTTATATAGATTCCTGCTTATACAACTTCTTCAGTTTTTGAGCCGTCTGTGTAACAGGCAATCTCTGCATTCATTGGAGGTCCTCCCTTCCATGCCTCTCTGCCTGTTATGATTGTTTTGAAGTTTTTTCCGAAGCTATACTGGGGAAGCATCTCATCCGATGGCATTCCCATTATGGGGTCGTTTTCCAACTCTTTGTTTAGCTCGTTGTACCTCTCACCATGCAGCATGATTATAGGCATTTGCCCTCTGGTCAGTCTACTGAGGCCTTCCTCTTGAATATATAGATGTAAGGGCATTAGGTTCAGCAAGACTTCTAATGCGGACGTTGGGGTGGTTCTCATAACACCCGTGGCAGCCATGCAAGCTTGCCTTTGAATGCCACTCAGCCTTCAAATCGCCCCAGCCTGCTGAGTCTTTGGCCACCATACCACCGAGCCATATGCTATCATGGGTAAGATAACCCTGGTATATAGCCATATGGTCATTTTTGGTTGTGAACCCCAATGTTTACCGCACATCCTTCTACACAAGTTGAAGGTTATCGTGCTTTTTTGGATTATTTTTTGTAGGTGTTGATTCCATGTCAACTTGTAGTCAAAAATGACTCTCAAATATTTTGCCTCTCGTGCAATTGGAATTTCCACCCCGTGCAGTATTGGTTCAGCCCTCTAAGTACTTTCTTTTTTTTAGAGACTACTAGTGTAGTTTTGAGAATGTTTACTGTTAGTTCCTCATCCTGGCACCATTTATTTATTATGTTTAGAGCCGTTTGTGTGTGCTCCGAAACAGTTCTTGCGAATTCGCCCCTTGCGATAATCGCGAGGTCATCGGCATGTCCTAAACAATGCATGCCTTTGGATTTTAGCCTCATTAGTAGTTCATCCACTAGGATAGCCCACAGTAGGGGCGATAATACCCCTTCTTGTGGACACCCCTTGCCAGCTCTAGCTGTGACTGTGGTTTCGCCTATGGATGATATGATTACCCTTGTTTGCAGACTGGCATTTATCCACTTACACAGGAGGGTTGGAACCCCTTTTCTATCTAGAGCTTTGGTGATGGACTCTTTGGATGCGTTATTGAAAGCACCCTCGATGTCGATGAATGTTGCCATGGCTATCTCCTTATCCTCTAAGGATTTTGTTAGTAGCCTGTTAAGATCATCTAATGCCAGATCTGTTGACTTACCTGGCTGGTACGCATATTGACGTTCGTTGAGAGGGTTTATTGATAATACCTCATCCCTTATGTATCTATCTATCAGTCTTTCCAGTATTTTGAGCAGAAAAGACACTAGACTAATTGGTCGGTATGACTTGGGCGTCATATCGTTTACCTTCCCTATCTTGGGTATGTAGATGACTCTGCCTTTTTGCCACTCATTCGGTATGTATCTCATGGCTATGCAAGCCTTATATATTCTACATAAGTATGGAATCAGTGATTCCTGCCCCTTTTGAAGTAGGATGGGATATATTTCGTCCTCTCCTGGAAATTTATATGGCTGGAATTTACTTATAGCCCAGCTAATTCTATTTGGCCTTGTTATCTCAGTAGCTAGTCTCCAGTCCGAGGCATTCGGCCTATTCGTCTTGCTTTGCGGACAGTACACTGCCACTTGGCCTTTTAAAATTGTTGCGGCCGGAATGTGTGCTTTTATGAGCATTTCTATGCTTTCCCCAAATGTTGTTGTGTAGGTATCATCGTCCTTTTTTAGGAACCCCACCTGGTTAATAGTACCCTTCTTAGCTATCACTTTGTGGGTTCTCGAACAAGTGGGGGTATCCATTACCTCTTCACAAAATTTCCTCCACGATTGCCTCTCAGCCTTTCTAATTTCTTTATTATATTATACTGTGTGAGTGTAGCCTTGTATTCCGCCCAGTCTTGGTTGATTTAAGCTTTGTTAAATAGCCTCCGCAATTCCCTTCTGAGGATTTCTAAGTGTTCGTTCCACTAGACTGTTTTGTTAAACTGTTGCCTTGTTTTCTCCGGATAGTTCGCCTCGTAAGCTGCAATTATTGCCTTACCTACTTTTTTCACTGCCTTTTCAAGGCTTTTATCGTTCTCTATTTCAATCACCTCCCCTTCGAGAGCCTCGTTGAGTGACAATAAATATCCTCTCCAGTTTGTCTCTCTATGGTTTCAATCTCGTAATTTCGACTTTCATTTCAAAATTTCGACTTTCATCTGGAAATTTTGAGTCGAAAGTAGAAATATGGTTCCTTGAGTACATTATAGTTCACTACGAGGTGATGTTAACAGGAGGTTCGTGAGATTATTGTGTGATTGAGATTTCAATGGAAATATGTGGTTGAAAGTGGGATCAACCTCAAGCGACCCAAAGGTTAGGAATAATCATTAACTCTGAATCAATTAATAATTTCAACAATAATCATTTCAAACTGATGTTAAAACAAGAACAAATATTTCAGTTTAATGTACATTTTTGAAGATGCTCATGTCAATGATATTTCATTAAATTTTACCACACTATTTATTATTTCTCATCTTCACACTCGAAAAAATTTGTAATTTTGAAGATCTTATCATCGTCACATTCGTCATGATCGAAACAATAGGATTGAATAATACAAATTAATTTCTCTCTGATCTTCGTTTAGCTGCCGATTCAAATTTTTTCACGTGAATTCAAATTTTAACAGGTAATTGGAGGATATTTCTCAAAAGGAGGATCTTCTAGAACTTTACGAATCGATATGGGCACTGAAAATGAAGTAATGGAGAGGGTACAAAAATCCTTTCATGAAGTATTTACTGAATCAACAAATCGACCATGTTTTTTTGTATGGAAAAAGCATGCACAATCAAAAGATAGAATCTTGGTGGTCTATATCACATAAACATAATGCACAATACTGGTTGAATTCATTTCAAACCCTAATAGAAGACAATTTATTTGATGCATCATTTTCGCACAAGTCTCTTGTTCAATTTTGTTCCATACCATTAGTACGAGTAAGAGATAAGTTGTTGTTAATGAAATTTTAATTATAATATTTATTTCAGAGTGATCTTGATCAAGTATATTTTGAATGGAGTATTCATAGAATACGGAAAACAAGAAATGCTATTGCTCCAGCAGGGAGACCCTTCATGGAGTTACAGATCACCTC